AAACCCTTAATATTTCTTGTACTGCACTTAAAGAATCTGTGAAAATGACTGCTTCCAATTTGGGCTGGTTTGATATATGTTGTAAGGCTTTAGATATGGCATACAATTCGGCGGAATATATGGAGTACTCCTTAGGTAGCTGGAACTGGTGTTTAATTGTTTCGTCAACGAAAGCTGCGCCTACCGTTTTCATTTCAGAAGTTTTTGACGCATCTGTATATATTTGGTAATATCTTTTGTACTTGTCTTTAATCGCTTGAAACCGTTGTAGAATTATATGTGATGAAGTATCAGATTTAGGAAACAGTAGAAGATTTGTATTACATGTGGGGAGTTTTATGGTCCAAGGAGGGGGGTAGTTTATTTCATTGGGAATAACTTTCGGGAAATTGAAACCTGTAATTCTTTTACTAAATGATGCAGAAAGAAAGGGTTTTTGTTCAAAAATTAAATGAAAATTGTCAGAAAATGTGTGGGAGTAAGCAGGATTATTACAGTTTGCTCCAATTTTAGCTGCATATTGTAGGCTTAGTCTGTGTCTTCTAATTGAAAGTGGTGGTTCATCAGCTTCTACATAAAGACTTTCTACTGGACTGGTTCTGTAGGCTCCAAGTGCAAGCCTTAACGCGGTATTTTGTATGATGTCCAATTGCTTTAGTAAACTATCTTTAGCTGAACTGTAGACTATTGATCCATAATCTAGCTTGCTACGAATCTGTGTTTTATATATATTAAGTAATTGTGAGGTATCTGCTCCCCAATTATGATTGGCTAATACTTTTAGAATGTTCATATTTTGCATGCAAGATTTTTTAAGTTGTCGAATGTGGGTTTTCCAAGTGAGTTTTGAATCTAATACCATTCCCAAAAATCGATGTTCTTCTACATACTGCAAATTTTGATTGTAAAGTGTTAATTTTGGCCAAATTGTTTGTTTGTTTCTTGAAAAACATATTGCTTTTGTTTTGTTTGTAGAAAAACGAAGACCTGTTCTCTCTGACCACTTTTCTAAAGCTTTGATGGACTCTTTCAGAATACTAACAGCTATTCAGCTATTTTTATTGCTTACATAAAGAACAAGGTCATCTGCATATAAACCAATTTGGACAGGAGTATTAATGTTATCAACAACTTCATTCATTGCAATCAAGAAAAGTGTTACACTAAGTGTTGATCCTTGGGGAGTTCCATTATCTTGGGTATACGAAGTTGACAAATGATTATTAAGTTTAACTCTAAAATTTCTATCATAAACAAAATTTTTGATAAAAGCTAGAAGATTTCCGTCCACACCCCATTGTTTTAATCTTTTTAGGACATCATACTTCCACATAGTATCGTAGGCTTTTACTGTATCAAAGAAGACAGCCAGTACTTGGCGATTACTTGCAAATGCCTCGTGTATGACCGATTCTAGTTTAATCAAATTGTCCGTTGTACATCTGTTTTTCCTAAATCCGCTTTGTTGTTTGCATATTAAATTATTGGATTCCAGGAAGTATTGCAGACGTTTGTTAAGTATTTTTTCTATTACTTTGCACAAGGTGGATGTTAAAGATATAGGTCGATACGAATTTGGATCCGTCTTTATTTTATTAGGTTTTAAAATAGGAATTACAATTGCTGCTTTCCAAGATTTTGGAAATTGATTCGTATTGAATAAGAGATTATAGATATCTAGAAGGTATTGTTTAGCATTTGCTGGAAGATTTTTAAGGAATGCATAAGATATTTCGTCAGGTCCTGGGCTAGAATTTTTAACGTCCTGAAGTGCTTCATTTAGTTCATTTATACTTAGTGATGAGTTCAGTGGATGATTGTTATTGGTAATGATTATTTTTTGTTCTGAGTTTCTTTTATGTTCCATAAATATAGGGTCATACATAGAGTCATTGCTGTATGTTTGAAACGAAACTGCTAAGGTATTTGTTATTTGTGCTTCATCCGATATTTGATTTCCGTTCATATTAAGAGAGTTTATCTTGTAAGCATATGGAATACCTTTAATTCTGCGGATCTTGTTCCACACTTCAGATGCGGGGGTATCATCGGTAATTGAGGATACGTATTGTTTCCATGACTCACGTTTATTCTTTTTGATTATATATCTTGCCTTAGCTCTATGTTTTTTAAAATTTACTAAGTTCTCTTCATTATGGTGTTTTTTTAATACGTTGAACGCATGTTTACTAAGTTTCAGTGCATCTTGACATTCAGCATTCCACCATGGGACCGTCTGTTTACGTTTTGGCCTGCTTGTTTTACCTATAGTTACTTCTGCAGCTTTTATAATCATTGTAGTGAATTTTTCAACAATGAAATCAATATCAGTTTCCAATGGTCCTAACTGGGGTATAGAGTTTTTGATAAAATTTTGATAGCTTGCCCAGTCTGCATTATTGATTTTCCACTTTTCTGGAAAGGATATTTCAGTATTTTTGTCTGATGCGTAGTTGGTTATTGATATAGGCCAGTGATCGCTATCATAAGTATGTTGTAGTACTTCCCAGTTTAAATTTGGAGCTAGCGAGCTTTCGCATATAGATAGATCGATAGCGGAATGTTTACCAGTAATTGAGTTAAAGCGAGTTTTTTCCCCTGAGTTAAGCAAGACAAAGTCAGTTAAGCTTAAAAATCTTTCTATGGTGTCACCTCTTTTATCTGTAGATAGACATCCCCATGTTGTACTGTGTGCATTAAAGTCTCCTACTATTATTCTGGGTTTTGGAATTTGATCAATTAACATTTCGAGTTGTTTGGCAGTGATTTCCGTATCTGGTGGAATATATACATTGCATAAAGAATATTGTGTTGAAGATTTTATTTTAACTGCTACAACCTCTAATTCTGATTGTATAGGGATTTCCTCTGATTCCAAATGTGAATTAACATAAATAGATACGCCGCCACTAGCTTTACCAGTGTTTGTTCTAATTTTATGGTAGGCCTCATATTGTTTTAACGAGTATTTTTTATTTGTTGTGAAATTTGTTTCTTGTAAGCAGATAACTTGTGGATGTGTTTCTTTAATTAAAAGCTGTAGCATTTCTATATGTCGAAAGAAAATGCAAAAAAGTATTTTTGAAGTGTGTATATTTCTATATGTGTAAATACGGATTGAATATTCCACTGAATAATAGCCATTTTGTTAACTTTTGTTTTTTTTTTTATTTATCGTTGGCAGGAGTATTTTCCTGTGATGCGTCAGTATCTTCAGAGGTGTCGTCCTGAATACTAAAATCTTTGCTTATTTTACTAAGTAATTTTTTCTTGATTCTTGTAATTCTAGATTTAATTGCTCTTTCGTTCAATATGGGATATATTTCAGTTAGCATATGTCCCAGCCCGTGTATATCCTGTGTGTATTCTAAGGCCAGTTCTACTGGGGTGGAAGAACCATGAACGTCTTCTAAGAATGCTAGTAATTGGGTGTAATTTAGTACATATGGTGGTGATGCATCTTGGATAAATTGTTTGGCTGGTTGTAATAACGACTCAATATTAGTAGTTTCTGAAGTAGATTGGTCTATTTTGATAATTTTTTTCTTCTTTTTAATTTGCACTGGTTTTGGTTTTGTGAATTCTGTTGGTATAGTTTCTGTAGGAGTGGAGCAAGTTGGGGATGACACTTCCGAGTAAGATCGTTTATTTTTATTATAGGTAGCAGTGCTGACTTGAGCATCCATTTCTTCTCGAGATTCGTCATTTACATTTGTAATTTGATTTTGTTCGGGACTAGTGGATGGTATTTGTGGAAGAAAATTTTCCTCCATTTGGGGCTTTTGAGTATTTTGTGGATAAGAGGGATTTGAGGAACAGTCCGAGGCAACGTGACCAGCTTGGTGGCATTTGTAACAAGTTAGTTTATCAGAAAGAAAAATTCGGTACGAAATGTTTTCAAAATCAATTAGGACGGAGTCGGGTACAGTAAAATTGTCTGTAGGTGCAAAGTAAACTTGTCTTCGAAAACTAAGAACATGGCTGTATTGCGGGTCTTGTATTCCAGCTCTAAGAAACGAAATCGGAGACATTAATTTAAAACCAAGGTTGATTAAAGACTGTTCGATTATGTGATGGGGTATAGATGGACATACGTTGGATAAAACTAATCTATTAGCGGGTGTAATTAGTTTACGTGCTTTAATTGTATGTTCTCTAATTTTAATTTCACCATGTTGACTTAGAAAATCATCTACGACTTGTGTGCTTGATAGGTAGATGCATATTCTTCCGTTTGACATTTTGGATGAGAACAGTACATTTTTTGGATGGACTATAGTTCCTACTGCAATGGTGTACTCTTCTGTTCTTATTTCATCTACTGCCGGTAAAATTATGGCCTGGTTTTTTGTTGGGAATTTTGTTAATGGTTGTTGCTTAGTGATAGTAGAATAAGTAATGTTTTGCTGATCGGGATTAATTGATGGACCCCTGTAGTCAGAAGTACCACCTGCCATTTTGTCAAATTTAATTTTATATCTTTATTTTAAATTTAAATTGAACTTTCATTTCAATAATTTTAATTTGGGTAGGTCCGACTCTGTTTATTTAAAAGTAAATAGTTGATCTAGCAATTAGCAAGATAATGCCAAGAGTTGAAACTAGTTTTTTAAATAATTAATGAATACGAAATATAAATAATGTTCTTCGTATGTATATAAAAACAATGTTTGTAATCAAACTACTGCAAATTTGGAAACTGTACTTACAGCTATAAATAGACCACTGTACACTGCTTCTATATATTTCGTTTTAGTATTTAAATTTACACTGTTTCTTCTCAAGTATTTCGATTTGTCTACCTGAAATTTCAGGACCAGTCTCTAATATCGAATTCTATGATTGGTTTTTACAAGTTAAATCACAAAAATTCACGGAGAACTTTTAAATGCGTAACTTAACTTTGACAGTTATTTTGACACTTCCATAATTGGATTTATTGTAGTATCTATTGCATATTAATATTAGTATCTACATTGATATGAAAGAAGTATCCCAATGTCTATTAATAATATTTTATATTAACTTTACGCATTTTCAAATCTATTTTAAATTCAAATTGTAATTTTAGTTTCAATAAACTAATTGTCTGTTTCAGATAGCTATACAAAATGCAGAGTTGATGCAGATTGTGCTAAGACTAGTGACCACGCCTTTTGTTTTGGCAACGATGCAGACAAAGATGGATACTGTAGGTGTAAAGAAAATTTCGAAATGGTTAGCAGAAATAAAACGTATTTCTCTTGTTTGGGACGTAAGTAGTAAAAACATTTAAGCTTTTTATCAAAAATATTCTTAAATATCGCCATTCAGTGAGCTTAGCATTTAGTCAAATTGCGATAACGATGTTTTTTTAGTGGAGTATAACACACTGCGGACAGACGGGGTCGATTGAGACCGATCTTAGAATTCGGAGCTTAATTATTTTTAATTACTGAAGAAATCTATTTCAAATAATACCTTATATCTTCTCTTCTACTTTATACCCTAAGACATTTCCTCAAGTTCTCAAGTTTTTTACAAATACCTAAGCATTTTAAACGTTATACCGTTTTTACTTTTCACAAAAATAGAAAATTACAATTAACGACGTTCGGACCTTTTCGGTCCCTTTAAAATTTTAGACCCCTTTAAAGATTTAGTAAATGTTCCCGGTAATAACAGTTTGTTTGAAATGTTATTAACCCACATCTCTTTTGTTATTGGTACGATAAAAAAAACAAACAAGGCGGCTATCAAAAGGGCACTACATAGTCTCTTCATTATTAATTAAAGCAGGGATGGGCAACCCGCGGCACGCGTGCCACTCTGTGGCACGATTGAGTCCTATCAGTGGCAGGCTACGCGTGCCACTGATAGGACTTTCAAACTGATCAAACTTTCAAAAAAATTAAAACTTGGAAAACAAAAAATAATAAGAAGAAACTTGGTAGGTTTACGGAAGTTACGATAGATGCGGCATCATTGCATCCTCTGGCGAGCGATATTGCTGCGATTGGTGCACGTGATCCTAGCTGTCGTAATGTGCAATAGGACGCCGTTACCCTTGCTTAGTTTATTTTAAACTGCCCCGTTGTATGTGCACATTTTGTCATCGCGCATTGTTTCTTTAAAATTTTAAAAGTATTTGTTCGATATGTCCACGAGTAAGCCTTCAACTTCAAAACGAAAATACGAAGATGATATTGCAATTCGCGATTTTCAACCTGCGTGGGAACAACAATTTTTATTTACTAATCGTAATACTTCAAAGCCTGTTTGTTTGATATGTGGATTGTCTGTAGCAGTTCCGAAAAAATTTAACCTGTAACGACATTATAAATAGCTGCATAAGGACTTCAGCAACAAATATCCTATTGATTCAAATTTGCGAGCCGACTTTATTGAAAAAAAAAAAGAAAACCCTAGCCAGCCAACAGTCACTGTTTTAGAAGAGAAGTGATGAAATGGAAACTATGGTTAAAACATCATATGAACTTTCTCTGCTGTTAGCCCGGAAGAAAAAAGCCTACTCTGATGGAGAGGAGATAATTAAAAATAGTCTAGCAATATTTGCTTAAAATGTGGGAGATGTAAAGATCAAAAATATGGTCGATAATATTGCATTATCCCGAAATACTGTCATGCGCCGTATAGATGGTATGGACCAGGATGTTGTTTCCCAAATTATAAGTGGATTACAATCCTGCAAATTCTTTTCTTTAGCGTTGGATGAAAGTTGTGATAACACAGAAAATGCGCAGTTAAGCATTTTTGTCCGTTATACCAATGATAATTTTGAAAATGCCGAAGAGCTTCTGGATTTGCGCCAACTAGTCACAACAACAGGAGAGGACATTTTTCAACAGCTTAAAAACGTAATCGAAGTCAACAAAGTTGAATGGTCAAAATTAGATAGTGTTTGTACAGATGGAGCTCCTTGGATGGTTGGTAGACTAAAGGGGTTTGTTACATTACTGGAAAACTATTTGGGAAGAAAAGTTTTTAAGTACCATTGTATTATTCACCAGGAAGCTTTTTGTGCCAAGGACCTAAACATGTCATCTGTTGTTGACCCTGTAACACGCTGCATTAACAAAATACGAGCTCGGGCATTGAATCGACAACAATTTCGAGAACTGTTCGCGGAAGCAAGATGGAGAGTTACTTCTCCATTGCAGTGTGCGCTGGCTCTCCAAAGGAAATGCACTCGAAAGGTTTTGGAACTTGAAGGAGTATGTCTTAAAATATTTGCAAGAAAACAATGAACTACCCAGTGAGTGGTCTTTACTTAATGATAAAGATGATAAGGCTTTGGGATTTAGCTTTTCTCACTGATATTATGAGACATTTAAATCTATTAAATTTTAAGATTACAGGGAAAAAATTGTATTTTTCCTACTCTAGTTGGTCATATATCTTCTTTTGTGAATAAACTTATGCTTTTTTGTAACGATTTTGGAGAACAGAAATTGACACATTTCACATTAATGCAGGAACTAGCCAACAAGGTCAGTAGAACTCCAAATTATGACAGATTTAAAAACCTTATATCTATTTTGCTAGGTTCTTCAATACCCGGTTTGAAGATTTTCAAAAAGACAAAATGAATGTTGACCTTTTCATAAATCCTTTTTCTATTTCTCTACAAGATATCAATTGTTACTCAGCTGAAATACAGATCGAAATTATTGATTTACAGAACCACACTATACTAAAAACCAAATATAGGGAAATTAGTTCAACTGTTACTGATCCCAATTATATTGAATTTTGAAAATTTGTACCAGCAAACAATTTTCCTAATTTACACGAGTTAGCTCTGAGATATTGTTGTAGATTTGGTTCAACGTACGTTTGTGAGCAAATGTTCATTATGAACATAATAAAATCAAAATATCGGTCACGATTAACTGACATGCCTTTAAAAAATCTAATTCTGTTGGCTAGTTCCGAAATTAATCCCAATATAGATGAATTAATTAAAAAAATACAAGTTAAAATACCACATTAAATAAGTAACTGTTTAATAATTTGAATTTTAGATAATAAGAAAATATTTAAGTTTTTTTGTTTAAAATATGTATTTTATTTTTATTCACAATAAAGTAAGTTTGTTGTTATGTTTTACTTATTACGTTATTTTTTAAAACCTCCACTATCTTGACTAAACGGAAAAATGTGGAATTTACATAAGAAATACATATTGTACCGTATATTATTAATATATAGTATCCATATCAGTATGTCGAAAAATTTTAGTGGCACGCCAAATTTTTTTTGTTCTCATATTGGCACTCGACTTAAAAAGGTTGGCCACCCCTGAATTAAAGTATGGCTACATACGAGATGTCGTAGGGCACTATGAATAAAAATAGTTTAATTAAAAGACACATTTTGATTTATTTACTTAAAAAAGGCCTCTGGCTGAGTACAAAATAACCAACCGAATGGTAATATGACTACAAATAGAGTTACTACCAAAAGGGCACTACACATCGTCTTCGTTATTAATAAACGTATAGCGACATACGATATATTGCATGGCACTATGGACGATGATAGACATTTATTGACCTAAAAAAGGCCTCTGACTGATTACAAAATAAACAAGTAGTATATAATATAGGGTATGGTAAAAATTGTATTTCGGGTCAGAAGTCAGAAGTGATTCTGAGAGAAGAAGCTTGGATTATATGCAAAAAGTTTATTTTTTTAAAAATTTAATGATTGACGGTAGATGACAATTGATTGGATGCATCATATATAACAATCGTGATAATCGACCGATTTTTCGTCTGATAATAAGTAGACACAAATTCAAGTCGCAGAATATCTCCCTCCAATGGTGCTACAGCCCAAATGGAGCTTTGGCCTACTTCAAAGTTTACTTCTAACATTGCCGGTTTCGCGCCCATTTTCTGCTCCTTTTCCGTAGCCTTTCTTTTTTTTCTTACGAATTATGAATGTTCTTTTGGAAAACACTTTTTTAAAAAGCATTAACACTTAAAATCAACTTTCATTTACACTAGCAAAGATTTAGTTACAATTTAAAATATAATATTCAGACTGAAAAAATGTGGTTTTACTATGCTTGATTCATAATAAAGCATTGTAAATGCTAAATTTGTTGTTCTAGTATGTCGCAATTAATGTCAAAGTTTTAGAATGTTCGGTACTGATAGACGGTACCTCCTATTGATTTCTCGTGTTAGAATATACTGGATTCTAGCGGTCATTGTACTATAACTTGCGCCCTACATTTTACTATCTAGAGGGCTCTTTTCGGCAATCTTTCGGTCTCTATTCTTACTACATGACCAGTCTATCGAAGATTAGTCTCTGAAGATTAACGAATTATGAAATCAGTGGCTCTTTAAACAGTGGTAGAGTTTATGGTTGGACCTGGAACTCCATACTCTGTTTTCATTAATAGGTTCAAATACCTTTTTGGGACTTTTTTTCAAATACTTACAGCTTTCTTATTTGTTATCTATCATCGACACAAAATATAGGAGAAAGAATAGATCAGCTGACAAATAGGAAACTGTGCCTGACTGTTTCGAGATCTATAATACTTATTTCAGAGAAGATTACATTCCTGACAGGGCCATGAACCATGATGAGCAATTAGTTACATTACGAGATCGTGTGGAACTCAAAAATACTTTCCATCAAAACCTAAAAAGCACATGAAAAAATTACTAAGTTATGTTTGGAAAACTAAAATATATAAGGGAAAAGATGGAAACAAATCATGTGTAGTGAAACAAAGTAAAAGAGTTGTTAAAATTTTGGTAAGAGAGATCGTCCTCAGTTTAAGAAATATTACATCATTTTAAAAGACTCAACTTGGCCAAAGAACTACTATAACCAAAATCAATCAATGTCAGGAAAATTAGAAATACTAAGGCCGAATACCTCCATAGTTCACGGTTGCCAAAGGACGCAAACTAGATGTCATCATTGCGTACAATGAAACGAAAGCTTGGTTATATAGGGCTGATCAAATGCTGCGTAATTATTCTGTCAAAAGATAAAATTGACTTGATCCTTGGGCCAAAACATTTAAATTTATTGACGTCTTCTATGGGGGTGGTATAAATATGAATATTAGCTTGTAGATTAGATCGTTTGCTTACTACCACTGCTTTTGTTTTACTGGTCTTGATTGAAATGAATATCAAATAAGATAAATAAAGTAAGGTTCATAATCACAGAAACACGTAATACAAGTAGTCGATATCTATAAAATATTAGGGAGAATCTATGTTTAGAAGAGAACTGAGAATTAATTTTATAATCTTAGGTATATTTAATGATAGTCGTTATCAGGTTATTGTTTATTAAAAATAGTTTTATGTCTTACAGTATTTTTACTTCTAACAGATACAAATTATTTTTAGCCGCCGGATTAGGAGAAAAATGTGAAAAAAATATGCAGTGTCAAATTGTATTAAGTGAAAACTCAGAATGTGCAAATTCGGCGTGTCGCTGTAAAAACGGAGCTCACCTTTATAAAGACGGAAGATGTTATGTCTCAGTATGTAAGTACTTTTTTTTATTACTTAATATTTAATCTTAGATATGACTCATTTAAATAACTAAATTAATATTCTCTCAGGTTATAGTAGTTTGTCCCTTATCTTGTAGCAAAGAAGGGTATTCATAAAGTTTTTTTGCCTCTTCTCCAAAGGGCAATAAATGGCTCCTGATATTTTTGATAAAATATCTAAGAACGCCCCGTCATGTAAAAATAATTTGCAACTTTCTACTTTAAAGAAAGTATAAAATAACGTGTAAATAATATACGAAACGGAATATTCATCCCTATAAACCTGACATTCTATGACACGTGTGTCGCTATTTTTGGCTCTTCGGATCGAAGTTGCTGGTAGTGCGGAATGAAAAATATTTCCCCTTCATATATCGCTGATTAATACAATCACTGATAGTCCATTAAAAAGTTATATTCGTCCCTCATATGGTAAAGTAACGAATCTACAAAATTGAAATTTTGCAGGAGAGCTAAAAACATTTCAAATTAATGTGAAAAATAGGATTATTAACCTATATATGTCACCTCGGGGGAAATGAAAAGGGTCTAAACGCCTTCTAATGCCTCCGTGTGCTCTGTAGAGGGCTTCGAAAACATCAACGATAACTCCTCTAATTAAGTCCATTTTCAGGGTATGGACTAGTAAATGTTTTCTTCTGGTATCTTGTCTTGAAAAAGGCAAGATATTTCTTACATGACAAAGGTTAAGTCGAAATAAAAATACCAGGTTGCAGTAGAATAACATCTCCAGCCACAGAGTATGGGAAAACCTAAAAACAAGAAAGCAGAGCCCCGAGAGCACTAAGCTCTCGGAGAGCCCGTGAAGGACTGAACTGGTTGACCTGAAAATCGCCTATTTTTATACACGCTGATGTAGCGATAAATAGGGATTTCCAGGTCAGGAACCAATAAGAAAAAATGAGGGGCAGGGCGATGCGTCTCGAGCGCGTTCTAGTCGCGCTTGAGGACATCCCCCCTCCTCTGAAGACTCTGTGGCTGGGAAAGAAAATTATTGAATCATAAAAATACATGTGAAAAATAAACAATAAAAATACAAGTAAAAATACAAGTAAAAATACACAATAAAAATGAAAGTAAAAATACATAAAAAAATAATGCACAAGAAAAATTAAATGTTAATAAAAGTTCAAAAATTCACAGCACTGCACTACTTACAGGGGAGGTCAATGGTGATGACGGCATCTCAAACTCCTGCAGGTCCATCCTCGGTCGGTGTGCCAACTCCTCAAACGAGTTCGTCTTCTTCTCGGTCGTCCAAATCCCATCTGCCATATCCGACGGGGTTTCGTAGGGTACCAGTGTGCCGAAGCCTACGTGGTCGTCCAACCACTTTCGGTAGGGGGGCGATGACTGGGTCTACTCCGGGACTTTCATCGGCATCTGGGGCTTCTAACTTCGAAAAAGGCTGGCTCGTCAAAGGCGCCTGCACGTCGAAGGCATCCGGGGAAATGAAAAAGGTCTAAACGCCTTCTAATGCCTCCGTGTGCTCTGTAGAGGGCTTCGAAAACATCAACGATAGCTCCTCTACTTAAGTCCATTTTCAGGGTATGGACTCGTAAATGTTTTCTTCTGGTATCTTACCTTGAAAAATGCAAGATATTTCTTACATGACAAAGGTTAAGTCGAAATAAAAATACCAGGTTGCAGTAGAATAACATCTCCAGCCACAGAGTATGGGAAAATCTAAAACAAGAAAGCAGAGCCCCGAGAGCACTAAGCTCTCGGAGAGCCCGTGAAGGACTGAACTGGTTGACCTGAAAATCGGCTTTTTTTATACACGCTGATGTAGCGATAAATAGGGATTTCCAGGTCAGGAACCAATAAGATAAAATGAGGGACGGGGCGATACGTCTCGAGCGCGTACTAGTCGCGCTTGAGGACATATAAACGACATTTTTGTATTCGACATTACGAAATGCAGATTCGTTAGTTATCTATTGCCAAATTATCTCTTAGTCCAATATACTTAGGCTAATGTAAAGTATTGAATAAACTTTAGTATTTATGTTTTTTTTTATAATTATGTTTATTAACAATCTACATCAAAAAGAGTATGAAGTAAATGTGATACAGGTTTTGCGCGTGAATGGGAGACATCCAATGATGTCTCACCTTATTCTACTTTGATTTAGTTCTGAAGAAGGTCTTGGGGCCAGGTTCTATGTAATCTTCTTGTGGCTGGTCCATTGTTGTATAGTTCCCTTGCTAGCTCATTTTCGTGGTGAATTGTACGTTCATTTTGTGACTCCGTGGCTCGATGAATTTCTTCTCTGATGAAAGGAACCTTTAAGTCATAATGGAGTGTTTGGTTACTTACGTACCATGGCGCATCCACTATCGATCTTAGTACTTTAGACTGGAATCTTTGGATAATATTCAGCGATGTTTGCTTTGCACAGCCCCATATGTGTAGTCCGTAGAACCAGATAGGTTTGAGTATGGCTTTGTATAGAAGAATTTTGTTTTGGATGTTAAGAATTGATTTACGTCCAAGAAGCCAATACATTTGCCGGAATTTTAAGTCGAGCTGTCTTCTTTTGGTCTGGATATGTTTCTTCCAAGTGAGTCGTTGGTCAAGATGGAGGCCAAGGTATTTAGCGTCTGTTACTGTTGGTATTCTTATATTTTCCATCCTTACAGGTGGGCATATATTGTGTCGGTTGGTAAATGTTATTTGAGTTGATTTTGTTTTTATTTACTTTTGTTCTCCATTTCGTATACCAATCACTGAGTATGTTCAGATGATGTTGCAGGTTTTGTGAGGCTTGTACGGGATCTTCATTTACGGCTAGTAGTGCTACGTCGTCAGCAAAGGAAGCTATTGTAGTATTATTGGTCTCTGGTATATCGGTATATTTATGTTAAGCACAATTTCCTACAATTAATTTAAAGCTTATATGCGAAAAAATTGATATACTTCACATAATAATAACATAGGTCATCATCACAGTCATTAACATCTTAGTAGATGTGTTGTGGTTCATAATTGGGCTTCAGCAGTGTACACAAGAGAATAACATAGATACTAACTACTAATAATAATTTTTATTGACATCTTCTAGGAAACATAATAAAAAATAAAAAATATATGAAAATATCAAAACCATGACCAAACACAAAACCCAAAAATTACAACAAAAAGCAATATAATTATGGTGTGTCGTCATATTCAGATTCTTCTGAAATATCTGGTTCAAGCAGAGTATCCCTTATAAGAGTTTGGGTAGGAAGGCTTTTATTAAATCCATGGTATACACGTGGAATCTGTAGATCTTCGCAAAGTTTTTTCAGGTCTCTGTATTTGGCAATGGAAATGGGGAGTTGATTAGTATAAGACGTAGCTGGTTTGAAATGGTAAATGTTAGACTTGTATTACTGTTGTCTTCATCATGAAAATTACATTTATCTGAACAAAAATCCATAAAATCTTGGTGCACTAAATGGTTAACTTTAAATTTAATTGTAAAATGTATTGCGAGCTGTTCTTATAACTTGAGTCCAACCTTCTCTTGTGTACACTGGAACGTTCTTTTTGCTCAATTTTAGCGTGTATTAATGCGAGTTCAAAAAATATATGGTTAATTTGTTTTATATTTGGATGCTCTTTAAGGATATGTATACACATGACTTTAAATAAACCTAAAATTTTTCTGTCGACCCCCACAACTGTCAGACATCATTCAAAGATACTCTACCGTAGGTCTGGCCCTTATATACTTAAAAAACGTATGTTGAAATTTCAACACTTCCACGTCGTCCCTCCGTTTTGTCCCAAACATAACAAGTGGCACTTGCATCTTGCAACTGCAAGTTTTCTAACATAAAAGAACGGACCACTAGGGCCTTTCGGAGTAGACAGAACAGCCTGAAGATCTGACTGAAAAGTTAAAATATTGTTTTGCTTTGTCTCTTAGTTTTCGAGCAGCTTCTTTCTGCTTGCAATGTTCTTTATAAGATTCTTTATAATTCTCGCCATATTTAACACGTTCTTCATTGGCAATGGATACTCTACAACGATCTTTCTTAGGTTTACGAAATTTAAATTTATATTTCCTGAAAATCTTTCGATATTTTTCAATAAAAACTGCTGTACGTTGAGCTTCCAAACACTTTTCCTTATACAAACTGTACATCATTGTAACATTCAATGTTGATTCTAAGAATTTATAATCCCTAATAAAAGTATCGTCTTCTCTTTTAATTTTATTCGGTGGTGCTTTTTTCTCTCATATCTGGAAGAAGTATACCACTGGAATTTATTTTTTTTTAAAGCTTCCCTTACTAGCCCCTCAGAAATATTAAATTTATTTAAAAAAAAATTCTGCATACAGTGTGCTTCTCTCCATTTGATATCAGAGAATATTTTTTGGTACTTAATTTTCTTGATGGTGCAGTTGTTGTTCTCCTGTTTACTGGTTATATTGTAATATGAATTATAATAAACTGACGATGCTCTTTCAAAGACAGTAAACTTCGAAATTCTTTATAAATTCGTTCTCTTTCTAGTTCAGGAATTAATATTGAACATTTATGTTTATTTTATCCCAAGCATCTCTGTACTTTCAAACGTCTCGCACTAATGATTTTTCCTTTGCTGATTAAATATTTCTCACCTTTATACCTCTTAATTTTCTGTTCCCTCTTGTCCTGAGTAACCAGTTTTGATTTTTTATGGCTTGCAGGTGGGGAAGTTTCTCTTTTATCTTGTGGACAACCTTAACGGTCAAATTCTTTCTAGTTCAGGAATTAATATTGAATATTTATGTTTATTTCATCCCAAGCATCTCGGTACTTTCAAAGGTCTAAAGGTCTTGCACTAATGAATTTTTCTTTGCGGTTTAAATATTCCTCAGCTTTAAACATCTTAATTTTCTGTTCCCTCTTGTCCTGAATAACCAGTTTTGATTTTTTATGGCTTGCAGGCGGGGAAGTTTCTCTCTTATTTTGTGGACTACCTTGACGCTCAAG